AGATTGTGTTCGCCCGGACGTCACCGCAACAGAAGCTAAGAATCGTCGAGAACTGCCAATTCTTGGGCCAAATAGTGGCCGTCACTGGCGATGGCGTCAACGACTCGCCCGCCCTTAAGAAAGCCAATATAGGGGTCGCGATGGGTATTACCGGTGCGTACAGTATGTTGATTATTAGTATTATTAATTAAATACTATTATTAATTATAATAGTATTTAATTATGTAAAAATTTAACATAAATTTATAATGCTCGATGAATTATTTTTGTCGTATTTTGAATGAGTTCCATTGAACATAATTATATTTATCATTTAACTATAACTTTGAAAAGCAATAACATTTTATTACTTTTATTATTCATTTTACATAATGTATTGTATGATAAAATAATCCAATTAAAAATCGCATCTACTCGCTGTTCCAATGATATATAAGTATGTTTATCATTTAATTGTAACTTAAAATTTAGAATTGTTTTATTACAGTCTATATTGACAAATCAACAATTATTTATACAATCTTAATATGTTAAAAATTTTAACTATAAAATTATTTTATATATATAATTTAATTTAAAGTAATGAGATGATTCCAGGCATCCAATTTTTATTAATTTATATTATTTATCAATAATATCATCAATAATATTATCAATAATTTTTTATATTATATATTTTTAAACAATATAAAATTTTTTGATCATGAAATCAAGTTTATAAAAATTATTTTATTGTATTATTGTATTGTATTGTAATTATTCATATAAAATAAATTTTAACCCTAAAATCTAGAATAGATTAATATTATATAAATAATTATTGATTTGTCAATATAGACTGTTATAAAATAATTATAAATTTTAAATTACAATTACATAATATTTGTATTAATTTTTTGGGCGTATTTCCAAAGTGTTAATTTGGTTGTTTTAAATATATAGTACATTATTTATTATAATTATTATTTTTTAAATAAAATTAATTTTGTTTACAATGACTCATTGTTATAAGTATTTTATTAGAAACTGTAATTACAGACAATGATGTTCTTTTAGATCAAGTAAAAACATAAATACTATCATAAATTGGTACAAGACCATCTTACCGGTAATAAATTAATATAATATTGTCACAATTTTTATTAAAAACTTATATAGAATAGAAGTTGTTTAAATAAAATAAAAATCTTTGATATAACTTAGTAAAACTTAGTAAAACAATCAGCCTGACCAGGCCCTAGATTCGGGAATTACCAAGCTCAATATTTTGCGCATCCGAAATTAGAACATAATTTATTAATACGCTTGAATTGTACGCCATGGAGTACATTTCTGAAATTGTGTACTTGTTATTATAATTATATAAGAATAACTGCCGATGAAACTCTTGGTCTGATTTAAACATTACCCTTTACTGTTTAAGTTTATGAATATTTAAAACACAACCTTAATCTACTAATTATCGGTGTAAGTAATAACTTACAATTTATTAATTATTGCAATATATTACTATGCCATATATGTTAAATCTTGTCTCAATTGAATTATTATACTAATTACTATAATAATAAATAATAATTAATGTCAATTAAGTTGACCATCATACATTACTTGTTACATTCTTGTATGGATAATATTTAAATTTTTTATTTAATAAACTGTAATTATAAAAATTGAAACTAAATTCAGAAATAATTAGTTATTTAATGCATTTAACACTGGTAATTATGTTTATCTTATTATTATAAATTCATGATATATTTTGCAATTTTAAAAATTGCACACATTTCATACATACACAAAAATAAATAAAATATTTTCGTTAAACTGGGGATCCGTATATAATTAAAATCATACAATGTTTAATAAGAAATACAAATTTCACAATAAATTACAGTTTTAATTACAACTTAACGTTTGATTTAAATCTATATTAATTAAATGTTTAATTAATTAATCATAATCCATTATCTGATGAGTACATGTGTTTAATGAGTAAATTGTTTGACTTGTCTTTAGTGTATACATTGTATATTATATGTGATTGTAAATTTTTATATTGTACATTGTATATTGTATTGTATACAGTGTAGTTTAATTTTAAAGTTGCTTTTTTGATTAGTGTACGGTAAATTGTAGTTTTAATTTAATATCGTTGACGTCAATGAATAATAAATTTTAAATCTTATATTAAGCTATATTGATTGATTTTACATATTCATTCAATCTGCACATTTTAAATTGTAATTTTTAAGTAAGTTTTTAATAATAAAGTTTTTATTTACAATGCTTCAACTTACAGAATAAGCTACTGTACATTTTGAACTTGTAATTTAATTTATAAATACTGCATTTAACAATACTACTGTTAAACTAAAAATAATATTAACGCAAATGGAACTTCATGAACTTAATTTGTGTTTAATTAAAACACGAAAAATAATTATAATGTAAATTATATGAGCAGTTCAATGGCCAGAAATGAGTCGGGAAAGCGACGGATAATGTATTTGCGTAGCTCTTCGTAAGCCAGTATATAAAAGAAAAATGGTACACCACATAACCAAACCCACCCTGGTGATTAATTTATAAAATAATAATTAAGTTGTATATTTAAATTATAAATTATTATTAAAGGTGTCTGTATACCTATAACGGGAGCCAACTGTAACACAGTGTTAAAACCAGGTGTGTAAACAAATAATACGGCTAACGCTGTCTCAAACAATATGCTGAAATTTAATACCCAATTGCTGTATAACAATATGTAAATGTTTTAAATTAATCATGAGTTATCCCATAATGATTATGCCCTAAAAATTACCCAAATTTTTGTTTAAATATAGACACCCGACGTGTCTTCGACACCAACACATCCATCCATTGACACACAACTATACATATGAAGTACGAGGACTGGGCCACAGTCTGCACCTTAAGACGCTCATCGTAAGTCTGTATACGTATTATACCATGGTAGAATAATTGTTAATTAAATTATTACATAATAGAAATAGTAACTAGGTTAACAAACTTACCCATGGTGTACCATACGAATCGTAAATGGCATCGTTGGCGGGGTCGTCCCATTTGACTCTCAACTGCCACAAGTCCCACGGTTTCCAACCATGGTGCATAAACGCCACAAAATAACCCAGAAAGCCGGCGCTCGACATAATTACACCGACTTGAAAATACGACCTCAACAGCAGTGAACGGGTGACCAACACATCGGTGCGGGGGTTCCGGGGGTGCAGTTTCATAATGTCCGACTCGGCCTTCTCGTAGGCCAACGCTATGGCGGGCATCATATCTGTGCCCAACGCTATCAATAGCACTGTGATTGTG